AATAAATTTATAATTATAATTTTTTCAAGTTAAATGCATATTTTTTGATTTTTCGTGCTATTTATAGCGCATATTTTAGAGTTTTTTAGTGCTTATTAAGGAGCTAAAAATTACCATTTTTAGTGCCACAACTTCCGAGCCCTGTTTATGACTAAGGGCTGTATGATATATATTTCAAAATTAAAATTACATAATTGGTTTAAAGGTACTTCTAGTTTTAACATTCCATTCATATATTGAACATACAAAATACATACGTTATAAATAGGTCCATGTAAAAACATAAATCCTTTTTTTTTTTTTTTTTTTTATTGAACAAAAATGTATATTTACAATCTGTATTTACATGTTATACAATAGGTAAATTTGATGTGGTTTGATTGACGGGAGGGGGAAGTCACCCAATGGCGGCACCCCGTGAACATAAATCTTATCTTATTTTATTGGATGGAGTGTATATCATGTAATAAAAAAAATGAATTTCACCCGTTTTAATGCTTCTAATTATATCCCTACAAACTGCAAAAAGGGATTAAATTAAATTTATATTTGTTAAAAAATGAAAATAATAAGAAAAGTAGGTATTCTAAATAATGTTGCTTAGATTATTTAAATTCTATAGATTTTCGAAGGAATGTAATAGGTATAGATAAGGTAGTTGTTTAGTTATATTTATCTGATTTAAACTCAGAGTTAAATAATTAATAAATATGAAATCAATTTAATTTTATTAAATAAATAAATAAAATAAATAATTAAATTTAAAAAAAAAACATATATACAATTTTAATCAATATTAAAAAAACTATCAATCGTTTTTTTTTTTTTTTTTGAACATTTACTATGACACCTTCAATTTTTTTTTAATAAAGTTCTATAAGTATACCTTTACAAATTTTAAGATATAGGTACAATACCCTTATTTATTACATATATCTGTACCTATATCAGATCGTATAATACATTATTGCATTTTTTTTTAGTTATATAATGGCTTGTATTATGTATTATAACGTTTAATGATCAGTTTAAGTTTAATTAATCAAAACGTCGTCTATTGGAAGTAGAAAAATCCCCCCAAAAATGTTTAAAATCATACTTCAATAATTCATAAAACAAATTACTGCAAATTCACACCACACAATTGTATAACAATAAAGCTTTATTATGTTTCATTATAGTTTATAAGGAATTTTACATTTTTGTATAATTGTATAAATATTATTTAATTTTATAATACAGCAAAATATTGATATATAATATTAACAAGAAAAAAGAAAGCAGATGCAATGTAAACCTATATAAAGAATTGTTTTCTCAGTTATGGTCAAATAAGATAGCTGCATTAAATGATAATGATCCATTATTAGGTATCTACTTTTACTTTTCCATTACAAATTTGATTGTATATGTATTGTACTTTTTATAATATATTTATAGTCCCGTTTTTTTTCTCTGTGAATATAATTCAATTTTCAAATTATGTTATGTATCAATTTTGTTCTTAGTGGGTAATTAAAAAATATTGTACCTATCATTTCAACATTAATTGTGTTAACTTAAAATTTTTAGCAAGAAACATTTGTAACTTAATTTTTTTTTAATACGCTTGGAAATAGTTAAACAAATTGTTGTTCTAATTACATCAAGAGATACGTTGTGCGAATATAGTGAACTATAATGAAGACTTTATGCCGTGTGTTATGACGTCATCAACTATGAACCGTATTCATATTATGATATTTTTATAGTTATTCACAACTACGTAAATTTCTTATCGCTCAACTAACTGAACAAACGAGGTGACATATTACTAGAGTTTTATACTATGAACAAAATAAAAATAGATAAATACATTCGATCATTTTGTTTTTATATTGTAAGAAAATAATTGTTTGTTTGTGTCATAAAATCTTGCAAATATGTGCACCCCTCATGAATAAATTTCAATATAATATTTTGTTGAAAAATGTATTTATTTTTTATTTTTAGAAGCAACCTTCAACATTTGAAGTAACAATGATCATGGATAAATATATACCTTACAAGGTACTTTAGTAGTAATATAACGTACAATAATTGAAATGCAACCTATATGTATGTATTATAAAAGTATTACGTATAATAGTCAATAGACGTATTATGGTGTATACTAGCGAATAATAATTGCGATCGATGTGGTGATTACATCTTAGAAGTAGAATTTAAAAAATAAGTTTAATGTATGTATATATCATTGTAAGATGACTTTTTTTGAATTGAAAACACTCATTATTTCGAAAAGTAAATGGGTGTTTGAATAAATATTTTTTTACCCAATTTAAAGTGATATTATATTTAGGTACTTGTTTGTGATACTGCGGAGTACCTATTCTTTTTAAGAATTTCGATGCATAAAAATGTATTGGATGTCAATTGAGTAGTTAAATAGTTAAAACTAATAGGTGGGAATCTAAATTTTAGATGAGAAGAGAGCAGTGGTACAGCCGTACAGGAGTAGGTACCTCGAAAATGTTGCTCTACTACTCCACTTACCTAAACTTTAAATACTTAGAAGTTATACCTAAGTACCTAACTAATTAACTACTATACAGTATAAAATTCAAAATTTAGTAATATGATTCTTAGAAAAATATAATATGTATACTTCAATCTTAATCAAAAGTATATTTTTAATTTTATATCAAAAATGTCTGCTGTCATTCAAATAAGTAAAAATAAAAATAATAAATTATAATATATAGTTTTTTAGAACAATATAGTTTTGGTGTACTTTTGAGTTAGTTTATATTAGGTAGATATGTATAAAAAAATGTTTTAAAACATGATAATATTTTTCGAGATAATGAGTGTTTATTGTTAGTCACCTATAAATCAGAATAAATTAAGACAATATAATATACCAGCTATATGGTGTGCATATAGATACCTAATATTTTATTTTTTCATTATCAGTATAAATTAATTACCGAAATTTTTATAAATTTGTATAGTTTCACAAGCAAGTAGGTGAAACAATTAACGTTAAGTATTAAGTACCCATTTTTTATTTTTTATCATAACCGTTAAAATATTATATAATATTATAGTATACGTATTATTATAGGTATTATAGGTACATCATCCACCGATCAATTCGCATTCGCCTTCATTATTATATTTCTGTTATACAGCCATTTCAACCCGTATGTACTTCGGGATTACTAAAAAAAAATACAATAACGAGAACATTATTCGTGCTTTTCGATTGCGTGCGAATTATGATAACCAAAATTAGGACACTAAATTATTATATACAGTACCTATATACTATATAGCTGCTGTATAACATTGCCACTGCTATCGGACCCTATACGCTCCCCCACGGCATGCGCGATCGCGCGCGCGCCGCACACCCAATTCAATTCATTTCCGAGATTGCCACCGCCAGTAACTGTCGCCGATCGTAGGTCAAATTAATTCGTTGTATTACGTGGGTGTACAATGCATATACATACATATATATATATATATTTATATTATGTCATAAACGATGTGTGCGTGTGTGTGTATGTGTGTCAGTGTGCGTGCGCGTATATATATCCAACAACGTTGTAATCACGTCGATACGTTAATTTCCCTGTGGGAAAACTTTGACTGAACCTCGAATTTTAATCCGCTCGTGTATATACATTATAATATTATATATAATATATATATATATATATATATATTTTAACAAAATAATATCGCAGTGTACAATATACCTACTTATTATAATGTAGTGTTTAGATAATATCATATTTTATAAGGCCCCATGTTGTCCAAAATCAATAATAATAATAATAGACTATTACCAGAAATATGATTGTCGATATTTTTTCCTTTTTCATACTATTTAGGTAAACGTTTTTCTTGTGTCGCTTATCAAAAATCATATTGGAAAAATGAGTATATCAATATATTAATTTGATTCTTTTTGTTCGTTTATGCATATTATGGTGCATTATTTATTTAAATGAATTTCAAAAATTAAAAAAAACTTGAAACCATTATTATTATCTGTATACTAAAAAATAAATAAATAAAAGATAAATCTAAAACTATTTGAGACCGTTCTAATTGATTCTGTATAATGTGTAGCGTTATGAAAAATATTTAAATATGTTTGAAAAAATGTCATTGAACCGAACTAACAATACATTTAACGATTTTAGATATTGTGGCGCCACATAATAGTAGGTATACATAATAGTATACGGCTATCTCGATAATGCCATAAAATAAATTATAAGTATTACTTGTTTTTCCCTACGATTTGCGTGCGTTACCTCAATGATCGCGTGTTACAACCAAAGTCCAAAACGTATTATTATTATCATTAATATTATTAAAGTTCGTACCTAAGTATAGTGGTAGAGTATTATAAGTACTAAATACTGTTTTAGTTTTCGTAAAAAAAGTTGGTAGAACGTTCCTTTCAAGGAATATTTCCTAAAATGTACGTGACAATTTAGAAAGAAAATAGAAAATTAAATTAAATAACTTTTAAAATCATCAAAGTTTACATATATGTACCTACGACAGAACGAACATGCTATTTAATGCGCCAGGTAGCGGTTACATGGTATATACTTGAAAACACCGTCTCGTTGATAATGAAAGATAACGGTGGGATTAGAAGGATAATTACATGTTGTCTAACGACTGCGCCGTCGAGTGGTTTACAATGATGAAGAATATAATTTTATGTTATAAACAGTGAATTCTTTGGTGAACAATGTGAAATAACATCTGTTAAAATAGCTAGGTTATTTTTCGCTTTCTTGTATGGTTTTAATTACAATTTTACACAATATTGATTATTGTTTTATTAATCTGATATTGTTATTAACCTGATATGCAGATGATTGGTATAATAGAATATGATTATTTTTCCAACTATTTGAGCTCAAACAGAAAACTACAGAAACGTACTTGAACTAACAAATCGTTTAAAAGAAAATACTTGCTTTTCTTACCTCCCGTTCGTTGGTGCCGAATCCAATTCCAAGATTTGGCATTGCTCTCAATATGGCAACCAATGATTGAACTGTGTTGCTGAATACCACAGGCCTGTATTGTTTGAAGTCTTCTGACGTGAAACCGCTCTCGTGAATAATTCTGAAAACACACAAGTTTGTTAAAAAAATGTAAAATATATATATATTAATTAGAAATAATAACAATGTAATTTTAAATTCAATTATTGTGACTATTTGTGACTTATTGGGAGGATTACAACAAAAGTATAAGACAAATGCTAGACAAATGTATATCAATCTAAATTATATATTTTCATGACTGAGGATTAGGTATGACGATATAGTAAAATGCTATACCTATTGATAATGTTAACATAGGTTTGTATCAAATTATGTGTTTATTCACTATTTTTTTTTTAAATAATTAGTTGCATGTATACAATCATCATAGGTAAGTGTAAAAATAATTCATAGTAATATATTTTTCGCCAAAATAAATATAGGTAGGTACGCAAGATGTCAGCAGTTTGAACATATTGCAATTGGTCAATCATTCATTTCTATGCCGTTTAAGTAATTTTAGATATAAATAATGAGTAAATATAAAACATAATTTGTAACAATTATAATATAATATATATTCTTATATGGTATGGATACCACAATACCAGTAAGTAATAAAAATTGTATAAAAAAGAAAAATATTTGAAATGTTTTTAGAATGATACAACGGGATACAGCGGATATTTTATATAAATTATATACGTAGTTTTAAAAACTGCAGATATAAAATACAACTAAATATCCGACTTCCCTGCAATGTTATGTTATAAAGCTCGAAAAATGGCCGAGTTTTCTTATCAAAGAGATCCATGTTTACAATTTGGTCATTGATAAAAACCAATTAGCAATATATTAAAATTTATTTATTTTGGTTATTGTCATATCACATTTCAAATTTCAATGAATAAATTGTAAGCACCTTTTTAATTATAGAACAGTCAACCATTTTGCCGGCTTCAATATTAAATCCAAATCGGCTATCTAATTGATTTATATATCCGTGATTATAAAGTATACCATATAGGTGAAGGCGTGTAGCATAGATTGAACAACACAAGTGACTTGTATATACTTGAAATAAATAAAACAAATACAAGTAACCGAGGAAGTGCAAGGCTTTTTATATTTTTTTTTGCAGTGTAAAATACGTGGACATTTTATCATCACGAAATGGATTTATAGAAAATTAATATACACTGCGACATACTTAATGAATTTTGAAAAATCGTTTGAAGTGCAATGGCCGCTTCTCGATAAATATTAACTTTTTACATTACACCTACCTACATAAAGGTATTAAAATAATTATTAAATGTAATAGTGTTTATACCCCTATTAGTTACCATGGTGCTTTTTAAAACCAATCATAATAATTATAGATTTAAATTAATAACTAAAACCGCAAAACATAATATTATTATTGTTATAATTGTGTGAAAGTTGATAAAATACTAATATGGATGATTATTTTCCTCTTTGACGTACTGACGAAACCTCGTCAACCCTGTTGAACATGAGTCAATTCGCAATTGCTATTATAGCTGCTAATGATTAGTAAGCAATTATTTGAGTACCTATCTTAATTTGAATAATCTAACTATCGTTATTATTGAATTAAAAACAAATACTTTTTTCATTTATATTGGTCTTTAATATGAATTTTAATTATACTTAGTAATATATTAATAAAAACCATGTGCCATAGGTATATTTATATATATATATTATTATGTAGGTATTGTAACTGCAGTCATCTTTTTTTTCAAACATCTCGCCATTGGCTATTATAACGTTCTCATTCCATTGCACACACAACAGTGTATTGGAGCTCGTAAATATCGATATGTATGTTTATTTTTTAACATTTTTGTATTTTATGTCGATCCGTCTGCAAGGAAACATATGGCGTTACAATATTTCCAATGTGAGAGCAATTCCGGCATCTATTAATACAACATTGTCGTAAGCTTTTCGGTAAAAACCAAGGGACTGGTCATTGATGGGCCGGTATAGTGGCAGCCGCCGGCGGCGTTCGCGTGCCCAACGAGACGGGTGCGCGTGGGAGTATCGATCCTGCACGGCCACCGCCGCCGAGGAGTCATCAAACCATGTTTTGTGGTACACATTAACATCGTTGCTTTTAATACCGGGGCGTGGTCGGTCTCATCGTACCTATTTAGTCGCGGAAACTTGCATTTCTGCAAACATCGGACATTTATATCATAATTTTCGGAAAACCGTTTAATTGCATAATAACATACGATCGTGTTTTCCACAATGTTTACCCATACACGTTTAATTATCCTTGAAAGGTAAAAGGGATGTAATTTGCACAGTAACTCGATAAAAATTATGACATTTTCAGTTTATTAATAACTATTAATTATTATTGAGTATTAAACCTAACCTAATACCTATATTTTACATTTACTATTTTCTATAGATTTTATAAGCACATTGATATAACTAATAACTATTACAAATTTAGGATATTATTGAAAGTTCTAAAGCGGACGCCACGTGTATGCTATCTCTGTCTTACAGAAGTAAAATTCATTAAAAATGTAAATATCGAAAAAAAATCAAGCAGAAACACAGATAATGTTCTTAAACCTTTAAGTTCAATAATGGGTCAACTATTAAAGGTTCAAAATTAATAAGGTTATTATACAGAATATTGTAACTGCTGAACGCAAATTTTCTATGTTGTACTTATGTTTGTAAGACAGAGACAACATTGCAGGGAGTTGGACCTCTCCAACAAAACCAACATGGTATTCTAATGGAACATAACTTAAGTGTGGGTAAAATAATCAGCTATTACTTATAAGGCTTATCGAGTATGTTTGACATTTTAATATATAGGGTGTAACAGGAAGACCTGACAGTTGAAATAACTTTTGTTCTAATCGAGGGGTAAACCACTCTTGGTAATCAGTGTACAAATGTTTGGAAATCTGTGGAAATCTTTGGTAATCTTAGGAAATCTCTGGTAATCTTTGGAAATCTGAAATCTAGTGTACACATTTTTTAATAGTGGTTTACCCCTCGGTTCTAATCAATATTTATAATTTTTTTTTTTTTGTTTTTCACTTTTGCTACGTGTATAATTAAAACAAATTATTTTTATTTTTTAATACTGAAAATAAAAAAATTTAAATTAAATTATTTTGGAAAAGTTAAAAATAGCTAATTTATAAATCTGATTAAAAGAGCAATTTTGATGGCTCAAACATGTATGTAAGTCAAGTAGTTTATTTTTTACAATTTTTTAAAATATCAATAATTTTTTTAGTAAATAAATTTAAAACATACTACCTAACTTTTTTCAAAATATTATTTTGGGAAATTCCTGACATTAGTATATTTCTTAAATTATTTATTAAACATAATAATTTTCACCATTTTTGTCATACGTTTAAGTAGCATTTTTTTTGGTCGGAACTGATCACGCCCAGTATTTACTCTAAACTTTTAAGTATAGTTTTAAAATTATTAATTATCCTTTAACACAAATCTAAGCATCACAAATATATTTTTGTTTGTCATTTTTTAATTTTAAAGTTATTTATGAGCATATTATACATTTAATTCTAAAAGAATATAATTATTATAATTTATAAATAAATATTTTTAAATAATTTATTTAAACATAATAAATTCATGAATCATGAATCATGTAGGTACATATTACATATTACCTACATATTACTACAGTAGTACAGAATAACATACATTTTGTCTATAATTTGAATTAATTACATTTTAAAGATAAGGATTTTTGCTTATAAATATTACACATTAAAAATAATTAGTCACATAATCAAAGTACCTCCAACTGTTCAAAAGACGTGTTAGTGTTACTCATATTTAGTCATTAACTATAATATTATTATCAATACAAAACACTAATCAGCAATCTATTATACTTTATACTATTGATTATAAATACTAGTATTTATTATCAATGTTTTTACCAATCTAATCAAATTAATTTATTTTTTGATGATCAATTATCTCTTTAAGATCTATTGGAAATAAATCGTTTTGCGTAAAGTGCATAGACTCATCATTACACGAAAGTTTTAACCACAATTTGTATTATTATAATAATTTCTGTTTTCTTCAACTTAGTTACTTCTAGAAGCTATTACTTATTGACGAAGTACGGTCTTTGCTTTAGTAATCTACAATTTACAAACTGCTTAAAATGTTTGGGTATCATGCCTACTTTATTAAAACCAATTTTTAAATTCAGTAGCTAGGTAGTGTGTCTAAGTACATAGGTAATAAGAAAATCGAAATAAAATATATAGGTAAATTTGATTATATATAAATTATATAGGTAAGGTATTAAAAACATTTCAAATACTATTTTAAAACTAAACTTAATAATAAAATTCATTTCACTAACAAATACTAAGGGGCAAGGAGCTAAATATAAATGGTACTTGAGTATTTGTTTATACTAAATACCACTTGTAAAATCATATTCAAATTGAAAGTATTGAAAAAAGTTGTACTCATTAGGTATATCTACCCGTTTTTTATATATTTAATAATGATTATTTATATATTAAATAATGATTTAAAATATGAAACTCACTTCATCTGTTTGACTATTGTACTTTTCCCTGATTCTCCAGCACCTGAAATTATAACATTGATTTTACATTAATTATCTATTTGTTGAATTAAACTTGTATGAAATACATGTAAAGCTCGAATAAACGTTAATATATTCATAAAACAAAAGAATTATATGTATCCAAGGTACATTATAAAATGGGTTTCCTTGTTTTCCTATACGGTTAATACATATAAAACTAGAAAAAACGATGACCCACCCTGTACAGTTAATTGTGTTTAACCTGCAGTAGAATATTTAACCTTCGATAAACTCTAAATTCAGATATTCTAAATAAATTAGGTATAATGAGTTATTGTTAAAAACCGATCATCAAAACATTAAAAAAAATAGTTATATTCTAAATCTCAAAAAAATGTTCGTAATTCGGTTATATATATTATTTATGACGACATCATCATCATAATATAATGACCAAATAAATTACTAATTGTATAAAATTTTAAACAGCGACGACCGGTTGTCAGAGCCAGTGCAACGTATAATTACAACACAGTAGCGTCAGTAGCCATCATGCAACGAAACATTATTACTATTATTAGGTGGTAGGTATTATTATTGTCAGAGAAGATCGTATAATTTTATGTTATATACCTATCGTTTTACACGATGTTGAACATTTTTCTGACAGTTTGTGATGTAACTTCCATAGAGCATATTATTATGGTTATGTTTATCTGTATACATTTTAAAACCGGCGCGCGTTCGACATAATATTTTTTATCTAGTTGGTCTTGGAAACGATTACAGTGGTTATTACAGTAGAGGCGTCATCAAGACGCACACATTTTGGGCCACACCAAGATTTGTGTCCTAGTTTTCTTTTCTTTTTGATAACGAGAATTTGATAAGAAGGTGGTGTTGTATCACGTGGAAGTATCGAAAATCAGAATAGCCGACGAATGTGCCACGGTACGGTTTATACTACCTACCATTATATTTATACTTGGAAAACGGGCGTGTGCGTAGTGCTGCCCATAAACGTTAATCTAGAGTTATAAAAATGTACGCAACCCGACGGTTAAATTAAGTATTTTTTCGTTTTCGGTGACCAATTCCCGCTCCAACCCAGCCATAAAAAACTCCAGTGTTTACGAGAAACTCGAACGTTAAAAAATCTAGTACGCGTGTAATATCACACACACACTCACATATATATATATATATATATATATATATATAGACGTTACCATTACCGGCGGTGTGCGCTAAAGGGTCGGTGGCGGCGGCGGCGGCGGCGGAAAATCGATTTCTCGCGCGTGGCGGCCGACTGCTGGGAGGGGATGAACGACACGGGAGTGCCACTTCTGACAGAAACCGTCCGTCCAACTACATCCTTATACATTATATATATAATTATTATATTATAAATACACGAACGCGCGCGCTAGGTACATAAAGCGTAGGTAGTATATATCTATACATTATATTGTGCTCCCTCGATGGGAAAACGATAGGTTATTAGTGGTTTGTTTTTGATCTCCCTCGTCCTCATATTGCCCTCCCGTTCGGCACCGACACAAACCACCCTCGACACAACAGCAGACACGACCCGCACCCTCGCGCGACAACGAGAGGATCCGACGGTCGGACCGTGGATGGCGGAAAAGTGCAGAGCGAAAAACGGCGTCAAGTGTGCACTTGTGGAGGCGGCGGAGCGTGCATAATCATCATCGTCGTTTTCAGGTGCATAACGACGACGGAAAAAAGTTCCTCCGCTCGCCGTCCAAAGGACGTTACGACCAGAATGCATTAAAACGAGGAAACACGAACACATCGACGTTCGACCTTCAGACACTTGCCAGAAATAAATAAAAAAATGTTAAAAAACATCACACCAGACACACGACCCGAAGGGGGACACACCGACACAGACACTCATCGGTTTCGATCGGAACACCGAAATAATCACACACACGCACTGGGACGTGCACCGGGTGGGTACCTTGCCAAAAAGCCTCTCTCGGTCTAGTCTCCGTGCACGCGACCCAAGTGTGCTGCAGACGATAGCACCGATTGTGTGTGTGTGCGTGTGTGTGTGATCCTGTGTGTAGCTGTGTTCATGCGACAAAAGTATGAAAGTCTTAATAATATTATAATAATGCATTCGACCATGGGAAAAGTGCATATTTCGCATGTTTAAACAATTAACAAGTAGGTATGACAAAATAAAAATTATATTTAAGCGCGAAAAATAAAAATGAAAAATTCAGATAAGACGTACGCCGCACGCCGCTGGCGACAAGACGTCCGCGTCGTCATCTCCGCCGGTGAAGGGGACTATTCTGCGAAAGGAACGTCGCCGCTAGGGCGGAGTATGATGTTTGCTCACCTAACAACAGCAGTTTTATGTCTTTGGCCGCCTGCAGGCCGTCCTCCCTGAGGTTCCTCTCGATCTGCCTGCTCCGGGCCAGGGCGGCCCGTTCCTCCGCTGACATAGCACAGCCCATCTTCCGGCCAACTTTCGCTAGGGCTGAAATCTTAATGCGCGCAGCTATTATACGCGCCGGGACGGATTTACACCACCGACCGCCGTTAACCGCAACGGTGCCGTACCGGTGTTGTGCCGGTCATCGATACCATCTTCTGCAGTGCGCGGAGTAACGCATGTTATGGTAAATGACTTGGGGCTGCGCTGGTGTCCACAAAGACGACGAAGGCGATGACCCGTTACAGGCTACCGCACCCGATGGACAGGCCGTCGGCGGTAGCAAACTTTCGGACGCGAATCCTTACCGCGTTGTACTGGGGAAACTTTTTCACACGCACTCACCACAGAATATAATAAATCGCAAAAACACTACGAATAAAAAATACGACTTTTTAGGGGGTAGGGGGAGCGAAAAATAATCCGATTTATCGGGATGTCCGGAGAACCTACGACAACGGCGATAATGACACGACCGGCGACGGATTATTATAAACACCGAACTGGCGCGCGCGCTCGCGGCAAATTACAACAAATAATAATATCGAACCACAGAGGCTACAGTGGTTATTCGGGTGGGGGACCGCTATGCGCCTGCGAACTGCGACACCGGCGGCGACTGCGAAAACGGTTACGGAGCAAGCGCAAACCGCGAACTGACGCCCGTCCGTGTGCGCGCGCGCGCTATCGACTATCGAGTAATCGAGTGAGCGAGGGCGTGTATGTGTGTGACGTGTGTACGTGTGTACATGCTTGTGTATCACGTCAGTGTGTGCTTGTGTTTCGCTCGTGCGGCGTGCGCGGAGACCGGCAGCTGACCGCCACGCTCTGGGTGTTACCAACCTGACGGCGGGGCCAGCGCGCAGGCCGCCGCGGTGGCACGACTGCTGGTGGCAGGGATCCGCTCGATTTCGTTTCGGCGCAACACCCACACGACGGGCTTTCGGCGGCGCCCGCGTTTGAAGGCCGGGCCCGACGGAGGGACAGGGCACGGCAGCACGGGTGGCCGTCGGCGGCTGCTGCTGCTGCTGCTCAGACGTTCCAGCTATAGCTGCTGGCGTCCTGGCGACCGTCACCGCCGATTTCGCTTTTTATTCGTCATCCCGTCGGCCGTCGTTTTTCGCTATCTTCTTGGTATTATTATTATTACCCCCGCCGCCCCCGCCACCGGTCATGCGCGATACGCGTTTCCCGGTTGTCTATGATGTACACCAAACCATAGAAAATCTATCTACCTACCTAATTTCGGTTTTCCGGTGGGTAAACGAGTCGAAGGGATATATTTCCAAAGAAGATATTATACCGATCGGCGATCGCTTTTTATACTAATCTATTTCAACCCATATATTTGAACTTGTCGAACAGTTATCTTGCACCCAGAAAATATAATACATGAGTCATTTATTTTATTATATTTATTTTAATTATCTCCTGAGTCCTATTTCTATAATTCTACGAATGTAGAATATTATATAGATGCCTACTGAACTTGGTACATATTCAAGAGTTGCAAATAATTATCTATATTACTATATTATTATTATAAAACCTTTTTAAATAGTTATTAATTACCCAGTGGTGGATAGGCCCATCCGTAATCTTCCCGATTGGCCGGTCTTTGAGTGAGTCACATCATGATTACCTATATGAAAAAAATTAGAAATATTTTTAAAATGTTTTAACTTTTTAAGATCATAAGAGAATATATGTAAATTAATAAATATTAATACAATAATAGACATTACAAGTGTGTTGGCAGAAAAAAACCATATTTAAATGATAATATGAAAGCATAGCCTTTATATTATAATAGCCAAGGTAATAATTCATGATCGGGATTTGTGTATAAAATTGTGTTATTATATATACAGTAAAGATAATATACCTATGTAGTCATATTTAGATATACTAAGGTCTATGACTATAAGACATGGGATATAATGAAATGCGTATTTCTATAAAAGATTTAGAACACTTAATTAACTTTTTAAATTTAAACTACTATACAAATTACAAAATGTTAATATTTATATTTATATTATTTACAAAATATTTAAGGATATTTTCTGTAAATATTGAAAAATGTAGTAAATGTTCAAAATTCCGGTTCAAGTTTGGAACAACTTAACCTCATCTGACTAACCCAAGACTTATTTAGTTATTAAATATTTTACTAATTTAGAAGAGAAATCAAATATATTTTTAACTTGTAAATTAATTAACACCTTATTGTACCTTAGTGTTCAAAAGCAAAAAAAATGCCTTTTTAGTGGATGGAGGGTAAAAAAGTTGTATTTGTAGTTCATGGCCCTGTGCCCCCTGTTTGATTCATGTTTCCCGGGTCGAAAAAATTGCTAATCCGCCCCTAATAGTTACTTATAGCATTATTCTTTCAAATTTCAATGGCCGTATATCATTGGCGCATCGTCTGTTTACCAGTGCCAAAATATTTAATATCGTACATCATATGGGCATCAACATGCTGAACAATAGAAGAGTATGAAAAATAATTTTTGATTGAAAATTCAATTATTGTCTTAATATATTATATGTAAATAGATACAAACAATTAAAAATAGATTGCATTAATTCACTTCAATTGTAGTCATAATATTATATAAATGTACATACATATAATATTATATAGAATTATAGATGATTAATATAAGATTTTATGCTTGTGATTTTTAATATTAATTTTCATGCCTATAAGTTAAGTTGATTGATAACAATAGTCAATAAATAAATAAATGTTATCATATTAATCATTACAATGGAGTGATTTACGTAAAGATTAATGATAAGAGAGGTTTAAAATTCCAATATAAAATAGGTAGGTTCTAATTTTTTTCCGTTGTGGTATTCAGTGGCGGATTTGAGGGGGGTGTGAAATGGCGATTAGTAAAGCCCCCCCACTGCTTTTTTTTTTACTTGAAATTCATAAGTCATAACTAATACCTACTTCTAACTTAATATATGATATAAAAAAGGTATAGCACTAATATTATGGCACAGAAAATTAAAACTAGTTACACATTTCTTCAAAAAGTTAATGATGTCCTTACTATTGAAGTCAGAAATGGATTTATGGATACAAAAATGGCATAGCTATGATTTGAAAGGTGATAAAAAGTAAAATTTATAACTTACCTAATTAATAACTTCATAGAATATTGAATTTGAATATTTAAAGTCAATCTTTACCGGGAAATGTGTTTCAAGCATTGGATGAATTTTGTTAAACAATTTATCCAACAATAAAGTTACTGCTTACTATTTTTGTTGCTTTGCCAAATAAGTACTGCTTCGGCAGAACGTAGTTTTTCTACTTTACGTAGGTTAGAGAATTACTTAAGGTGACGCTATAAGTCACTACATCCTCATGTGTTGTCTCCGTCATAACAATTAATGTAAAACATGGCAAAAACTGGGAAGGAACCGAGAAATTGTCACCACATAAAAAAGACAACTTTAGCTGTGAAATATCATTTTTATTTTTTCGATATCGGAACTAAAGAAAAAGTTATTGGAGTTTGAAAAAAAACAAAAATAATTGATTTTGAAATAATAAGAACGTTTTTTGTGTGGGTCATATAGAAAAAAAAAAAATGATATTTCACACACATCGTATAATGTTCTGAACTATATTGTATATCAATTTGGAGTCTTTACTACGACTACAGCCTGAGTGGTTCTATCCAGTGTTGTTAAAATTCCTTTTATATAGGAATTCGTTCAATTTCTATAGTTCCTTTAGTATAAATAGGAATTCGTTCAGTTCCTCGTTCATTTAATGTTAAAAGGAACTCGTTCAATTCCTAGTTCCTATGAAAAAGGAACTCATTCTTTCCCTCATTCCTCGTGGTGCATGAGTTATCAGTTATTATCATAATCACTAATCAGAACACAGTTATATGTGAATAAAAAATTGGTGTCTAGTCTATTATTTTTTTTATAAATTAAAAACATGATAAGTAAACAAAAATACAAAATTTTTCTCCCCAAACGTTTTTTTTTAACTTTTCCGTAGAGAACAAAAGAGTCATAATATTAACTTTCCAATTTATAAAAATAAGGAATTGATTCACGTTCCTTTCAAAAATAATGGAATTTATTCCTTCATTAGTTCCTTTAAAAAGGAATCAATTCCTGGTTCTATCCCGTGCAAAACAGTTTTTGCGATTTCCTTATTTTATTGTAATTTAAAAACGAGTGACTGTAGATACATAAAAATTTCTCTGAATGTTTATACTAGCATTTCCTATACACTGTATACAATTAAAAAAAAATATTTTGACTCTTTTTGAGCTGTTTACGGACATTTTCAGTTTTCAATTTTTTTAGTTTTATCTGTTCTGCCAAAAAGTGTAAAAATGTAATACAAGGCTCCTGATATATTTTTATAATAGCAGTTGAAAAATATTAAAAATACATAGGCACAATATTTTTTTTATAAGCATTTAAAGATCAAATTTTTACAAAATTTATCAAATTTAAAATTGAAAAATTATTTTGTAGTTAAAAATGTATAAAATGTTCAACTTTTATATCTAAGGATTGAAAATTTAAAACAAGATTCCACGAAAGTAGTTTTTATTCTGTTACCAAAAAATCTAAAAAATACAGAATAGATCAGATGTATGATAATATTGATAATAGATCTATGATAGTATCAGGGTTTGTTGTTGATGTATAATGCGTTATAAGTACCTAATGGATATTGTGATGTGATTAATTTGGAATTTATTATAGGTATCTATTATAGGTCAATTTTTTTTAATACCATAGATCAGTGGCGTAGCCAGGATTATGAAATGGGGGATGTTTAAGTATAGATCAAAACCAAGTTCTTACAGTTTACGAATATAAATAAATGTTGACTTGTTGCACTAAAAATTATCGAAATATGCAGTCAAAATATGCTTAAATATATGCAGCTACATTTTTATATTATTTTTGAAAAATTCATAAAACATACTACAATTTTGGTACTATAGGTTAATAAATTAGTAATATCCAATA